GTAATCCGAGTTTCCCGTCGATGTTTATACTCCTATCCAGTGTGTGTTTCATACTTGATTATTAATCGGGACCGGGGGCCGGCCACCCGCCTTTTCTCTATCTAGCGCTGATAGTACCAGGAATTAAACGTCTAACCTCTTTCTAGAAGTACCTTCTTTCTCTAAATAGAAGTCTACACAACAAACGCCTAACCCTTTTCTAGAAGTACCTTCCTTCTCTAATTAGAAGCGTCCCGGACACCAGCGGAGTTGGGGCTGACTCAAGCCATGAATTACAAACCTGTGTATGGGAGAGCGGATGGGATTCCCAATTCTATTGAATCTATGGTCGTATGTAACAGTTGCTCCAATATGCCATGCCACTTTTGAACCTCCCATTGCGGGCTGCGAGAACAGGTGAAAGCGGGTCGAGGCCGCGACGCCACTCTAAGATGCAACTAGTATGTTAGTTTTCATGGTTGACCACTGCACTGAGATGACACTGCTATAGTCTTGATTTGCGAAAGCTCACTCATACAAGAACACTCCTTCCTACAAATGCGCAAAAAAATAGTATCTCTGTCATGCTCATATAATCTAGCCGCGCGGGCACTCTTCACTGTAAATGCGCATACATGCTTATGCAATTATCTCTGCCGCCATCTCGGCACTGACATTATGGACGTCAGTTACCCCCTCCTTCTCTTCTTCTACGTCTGCATTAGTTTGTTCTTTTCTCCCTCTCTGTGTTCTGACCTCGGCACAGAGCTCTTAGGACCCTTGACACGATCTGGAAACTCGATTTGACCTCAGACACCCTTCCGCGACGAATAGGTGTGCTAGCAATGGCAAACGAGCATAGTTTCGGCACAACAGTTTTCTACACATCAGTTTTCTGCACACCAGTGGTCTACTATCAGTTTAAACAACAAAGAAATTATTAGTCATATGATCAGTAATATTTCATTGTGATTAAAATACGTCTATCTTTAAAGAAAGGGAAATTAGTGGCTGCTGTTTAACAGCTCCATACCCTATGAATGAACCTCTATGGCATGGATCAGATACTATCTCCCTTCAGAAGCTTCTCAACCGTTTCCTGCATATCCTCATGTAGCAATCCTAACAGCTCATTATCAACAGTCTTAAACCGAGGTTCCTCCCGTCCTAACACCACACTCGCAAGGATCTAACGGTAGAACGCGTTTAGGAAATCTCCCTTCTCATGCATCTCCTAGGCAACAGCTAGCTGTTCCTTCATGCTCATCTCTTCCACAGTCCATTTCTCGCCCGTAGCCTTCTCAAGCGTAGCAACGACCTCGCGCTACGACGTCGCGAACGACTTGATGTCCACGAAGCGATCACGCGTCTTAGCTTCTATAATACTAAGAATCGCCACGACACCTATAGCGATAGTAGACAGGTTACTAGCGCTAAATACGCTAGATCTGCCATCCTAAACCTTAGCAGTCTTTATAGGCTAAAGGAAGACATCTAGGAAGCCCACTTTAAGGGACCTTTATAGAGAAACAGCTAAGTAGGATGGTCTAGACAGAGGGGTTTAGATGCTTAAACGTACTAGTCAAAGAACAGACTAACGTTAACGCTAGTCTAGTAGAATTCCTACCCCTTTGCCTAAGCCTCTATCGCCTTCTCCTTAAGTACCTCTAGAATTACGTTTTTACCTTTAACTATTAGCTTAGATTCTAGCACTAGCGCCTTAATGTGGTAGTTTCCCTATTTACTAGGAAGGAAACGCTTTACACCTACCTTAATGGCTACGTTAATGAGTTAGACCTACACTCCTCTAGCCTCATTATTAAGGGTATAGATAAGGGCATCCTAGCCCTTAAGTGCCTTAACTAGATCTTTATAGGAGCTATAGTTAGCCTTCTTAACGTTAACGGTAGGAGGAAAGACGGTAGTAGATTTAGCACGGCTTAGAACGGAGACGTTAAAGGGCCTACTAGCTAGGAGTGCATTAAGAATTAGCGTTCTAATGACGCCTCGTCCCTATAGAAGGAAATGTTAGTTCTAAGAATAGATGGTATTCATGAGCATATATAGAGGACAGATTATAGAACATATACTAGTTACCATAACATTCTTAAGGATTTAGGAAGACATGTTTAAGAGGAACGTTATTCTTCATTTAAGAAAAGGGTGATTTTGTTAGAATGATCTAGTGCGTATGTAAAGGATTAATGCTTTATATTATGATGATTTAAAACATACTAATAGGTCAAAGAGGCTATCTTATAGTTTCTAACTCTAAAGTAGATTGCATTAATTAACTAAAGCTAAGTCACACATCTACGAGCTTTCGTATTCTAGTACATATTCCCTACTACGTGCAGTCTTAGCATTGCATATACTCTAGCCTTATGCCCTAACATGGGCAAAGTAAGGTATTCTATGTAAAATATTAGTAATTTGCATGCTTTATTAGCTGTCTCAGCTAGGCGGAGGAATAGTTTGTCTAGCAAATGGACATGCTCTGTCATCATCGCCAAGACCTCTAGGGATGTGTAAAGTCGACTCCTAAAAACAGTCTCCGCCTACTGCGAATTCTTGGTAATCTAGGGCAATTGTTCCCCAAGCGTGGAATTGTGGGTTAATTAATACAGTATATCTGTCATTGCCTAAGTTCATCTCCTCTAGCGCACGTTCGATTACATAGCGTTGTGGATCGAAGAATGAGACGGTAGAGATGCCACCAGGCTCTCTTTCCTAGGCTGCGACGCGTGGCAGCTTTGATCGTGTGGTGGAACTCATCTATGTGATCCCATACGTGTGGCATATGGATGCTCAGCGTTAAAACCTGAGTGAGGAGGAGTGGACGCCGCAGAATGGATTAGTGACGAATTCGCAGAAGTTGAACCGGAGGGTCGTGGTAGAGAGATTCATGGGAGAGATTGAGAGTGTTTATGCGGCGGGCGGTTCATAGCTAGCCGGAACTTGTAGCAAGATGGGTTATGAAGACCTTTAGTTGTCAAAATATAAGTAATACCATCTATAAAGTTTAGTAGATATGCTTTCATCTCTTAGTGCAGCCCAAAGGTTAACAAACTCGCCCATAATGAATCACAGTCTCGCCTCTCTCTTCTGTCCTCCACTTCCTCCATATCCACCACTCGCACCCGCCGCAAACTCTCCCACCACCCTCCAATACCTCTCCGAGTCCTCAACCGGCAAGGTGCAATGCGCGGCACGACTCCAAACTTCCCTCCGCACGCTCACGCCCTTCCCCATGATCTCCTCCGCATGCGACGCCACCTCCTCAACCCCCACTACCTCATCCCCACTCGAGTGCAGATACAGCCGTGGTACAAGCCCAAACGTACCGAGATCATTTAATTCGCGGCGGAGATCGCTAACAGAGCTAACAATGCCTATTGCTTGCAGTGAGGAAAGCGCGCCGATGAGGGGGAGGAGTAGAGTCTGGCCAAGTAGGTTGATGGGTTGGGTTGCAGGGAGCGAGTATGTCGCTGCGGTATATGCTTTGGTGAAGGAGGGTGAGCCTGGGCAAGAGTCCAGGATGAGCCCGGTTAGGGGGATGGGGAAGGATGAGGCTATGGTGTTAGAAGATGGGGTAGTGGGGATGCTGCTGCGTAACAGGCGGCTGAGTTGCAGCGCAGAGTTGCAACCTCCGTGGGAGAAGATGTAGAGGAGGGCTCCATTTGAAGGCTTCGCTCGCTCATCATTTGTAGGAGATGGCGGAGAGAAACCTGGAGAGGAGGGGAAGACAGATAACAAGTAGTCGCGTGCGGGCTCTAGTTGGCGCTGGACCACGGCGAATGATTTGGTGGTAATGTCGGCTAGCACAGTGCGGATGAGGAGAATGGGCGTGGATGGGTAGAGGGTTTGATATCCGCGGCAGTAGACAGCAATGCGGGCAGACGTTGAACCACCAAGCCAGGTGGTGAGGATGATGAGCTTTGGAGACTCTAACACCGGTGTACTAGAGGTCGGGGGCGGTGGTGTGTAGAGAAGGATGTTGGGATTGCTAGGATGAATGGGAGAGAAGGAGAGGGACGAGAGGGGGTGTTGGTTTATTTCAGTCGCCATGGAAGTGGAAGTGGCCGTTCACAGGGTGCGGCGTAGATAAATAATGTTGGGTGGTTTGTTGGACGTCTGCCAAGCGTAGGCGTCCAACGCCATAGCATGCCGCTCTGTGCCTTAGAGTGGCGTCCCGGCCTTGACCCGCTTTCACCTGTTCTCGCAGCCCGCAATGGGAGGTGCATGTGCGTGTAATGTCTGTGGATTGGTATTCGGAGTGCATGAAGAATGTAGCACATTATAATAGTTTTACTGCCCCTTTACACGTCTTAATGCGTTTATTAGAGGACCACGCCGACAACAGCGATACTAACAACAACACACTATTCTCATAACCTCGATTCTCAATAACCTCGATCTCCCAATCTCTCCCCTTTGCCCCTTCGCTATTCGGTAGCTCGCCCTTCCCCATTCCACTGCACCCCGCAATCTCAACCCCGCGTTTTAGCAACCCGTTCGCGAGGTGTACGTGCCTTAGAGACTCTTCCGCCCTTTGTCTTGTTAAGCGTGCGCACATGGCACGAGGGATGTTCTTGTATGAGTGATGTTTCGCAAATCAAGACTATATATACCAGTGTCAATTTAGTTCAGTAGTCGACTACAAAACTAACATAGAGTAGTTGCATGCGTAAAGAAGCATAGGTATATTTCCATCGCAGCGGTCCTGAAATCGGAGTCAACAGTCGGTTCGAAATGTATAACGGTATATAATAATATTCTTGTTCCTACGGTCTATTTAGCGCCTACAAAATCCTAGGAAGGAGCAAATATCTAACCTCCTCCTTCCTATAATTAGTATGCTTCTATAATATCTTGAGGAAGGAGCAAATAACTATATTAGTTAGTGCAACTATATGTTCTAGTGAGCAACCACGGCGTCGTAGTTTTCGGGTGTTGACGGCCGCGCACAAATGACACTGGTATATAGTCTTGATTTACGAAAGCTCACTCATACAAGAAAGTCCCTCGTGGCGCAATTGGCTAGCGCGTTCGACTGTTATCCGATTTCTGGTATCGAGAGGTTGGTGGTTCGAGCCCACCCGAGGGAGTTCATTTTTTGCAGCTCTCATTAAATTTTGGTGGGGAACATATCATTTTTGCCATACTAAAATACAGGAACACCATGGAAAAGGTACGTACCACCATCACCACCGCCATAGGAACTGACTCCCTCTAGCCAAGGACAAAAGATAATCCGGCAAGGCCGGCATCTAGCACAGGGGGCATTCCCCATCTTGGCCCTGTGGCCCCTCTACGAACTACCCTGCCCTCAATACACTTAGGTAATTGTGAAGACGGATGGTCGTCATCACGCTTTTCTTGGCATTTAGCATTTCACAATAGTTGGTGTTGTTATATTTTGCCAATTAACTCTCTGAGAGGGGAAAGATTTATATATACGGATTGATCTTTAGGATTCATTTCACCACGCCGCTCCTCTACTCACCCGCTAATTCCCTATTGATCTTTGAGAGACCGAGTACCAGAGTTCACATTCTGCAGATCCCAGTCTATTCAGCCCCGAAATTGGAATCCACAATTGTCAGCCTTGCCAAGAGGGGCTGTCAATTGTGGAGAATCCAGTATCACGCCGATTCCATTCTCGGCTTTCTTCCTCCTCGCTCGTGCTCTTATTGAATTCCCTCAATATACTCGGCCCTTCTCTCTATTTCCACTTCTGCTGTCAGCTGAGTTATTGTCTAAGGAAATCAGCACATAAGATTCTCGAAGCGCAAGCGGGCCACTGGTGCATGTTATTCTTACAGCGGTAACAAGACGCGGGACACAACGCCCCAATTCAACTTCAGCCGCACATCACATTACCTCTCGACGGCTCAGTTCACACTCGTTAATCCTCTGTCGACGACTATATATACTTTCTCCGACTGCACTCATCCTGAATATTGCAGAAGTCTCATATCTCTTCCTCCACCCACAAAATGACGGACGCCACACCTAAACCAGAGGAGCCCGTCTCCAACGACGCACCCGCCTCCAACAACACCGAGCAACAACAAGAAGAACCCAATGCGCAGAACGAAAAGTCCGAACAAGAGCCAGAAGCCCAGGATGGCGGCTCCCACCACCCAGACCAAGAATCCGAAGCCATAGAGAAGCGCTCGAAGAAGGGCAAAGTGAAGGACAAGGTCGCGGAGAAGAAAAAGAAGGCCTACGAGATGGCCAACCCCCCCGGCGGATACGACTCGACGCCCGTCCCGTCAGCCCCAGATGGATATACCGTCAAATTCACATTCGTCCGCGCTGAGAACCTGCCCATTGGCGACCTGGGCACGGGGTCTTCGGACCCGTTCGTGATAGCGACGTTGACGAGCCATGGCATAAAACCGAGACACAAGGAGGACCCTGAGATGAGGCTGCGGACACGGACGATCCAGAAGGATACCAATCCGGTGTGGAACCAGGAGTGGATTGTGGCAGGCATACCGAGCAGTGGCTTCGAACTCAAGTGCCGCCTCTACGACGAGGATGCCAATGACTCGGACGACCGACTCGGCAACGTGACGGTGGTGGTGCCACACATCAGCGAGAACTGGGAGGGAATGCACGAGGCTAGCTTCCCGGTTAAGAAGCGGATGGGCAGCTGGCGCGCGTATCTCTTGAAGAGCATCACGACAATGTGTGGCAGCGATGGGGATCTCTCCGGTCAGCTGTTCCTGAGCATGGAGGTGTTGGGTAAGAGTGATAAGCCGTATGGGAAGATGTACACCGTGGGACCTACGGGTTGGACAAAGCACTACAGTCCCATGATTGGGCGTCTTGCTGGCACCAAGGCGCCAAAGATGGAGGGACATGAAGGCGAGAAGGCCAAGGTTGAAAGATATGAGTAAGTCCGCTCAGTCTCCAAGGGAATTTGGAGCCGCTTCAGTCACCATCCCAGAACTAACCAGGTGCAGTTTCCAAGCCAACCAGATGCAACTCCAAGGCCCTGTCCCCGACGAACTCTACCACCGCTTCGTAGAATTCAAACCCTTCGTCAAGGGCATGTTCGACAAGACCGGCCTCCGCGGACACGTGCTCAACGCCGCCCTCCACCACCAACACGCGCGCGTCTACAACTACTCCAACACCACCACCCACGGCACCATGGAACCCAAGTCCCAAGAAGCGGCCCTCCAATTCCTCAAACTCGCGCACTTCGACGAAGGCGGCCGCCTCTTCACCTACGTCCTCACCCTCGACGGACTCCTCCGCTTCACCGAGACGGGCAAGGAATTCGGCATCGACATGTTGAGCAAACACACCATGCACAGCGATGTCAACCTCTACATCGCGTGCTCGGGCGAATTCTTCATCCGCAGACTCAAGGACAAGAATGCCAGCCCCGAAGACCCGAATCAGCAGACCCACCCCACAGACGACATCGAAGGCGGACCCCCGCACTCCGCTCCCCCCAAGGACCCAGCCAACTACGAACTCGTAATCGACAACGACAGCGGGACCTACCGCCCCGACGGCTCTCTCCTCCCCGCCCTCCAATCCTTCCTCGAAGCCAACCTCCCCGGCCTCAAGATCGTCACGAAGCCCTGCACGGACGACAAGCTGCAGCGCATGAAGAAGGAGCAGCGCGAGACGAAGAAGAAGCAGGGAGAGCAGATACAGGTGTACCAGGGTGATAGCGATGGGGGGTGGAGCTCCAGTGATGAGGAGAGCATGGATGAGCGCGCGCGGGGGAAGAAGAGTAAGAAGGATAGGGTGTTTGAGGTTATTGAGGACCCGGAGGCCGCGATTAGGGGGTTTAGACATGGGGGGAGGGCGAGGAGGGAGGAGAGGGAGGAGGAGGAGGATAGGGTGGATGATACGGTTGAGGCGGGGGAGGGGGAGGCGAAGAAGTGAGGTGTGATTGATGGTGGGGGGGGGGGGTGAGTCGGACGCGCGGGGGGTTGAGCGTGGCGGCTTTGTATATGGGCTTTCTCTAATACTTTACTTTGCGGGCGGGGTTTCGTTTGTTTGGCATGGGTGGGGAGGGGCTGCGGGAAAATTTTGTTTTAATACCCATACACCCAGATGAGGGGTGATATCTACACTGGCCTTGCGGCTATTTATGCGGTTTCTTTTTATCTCGGCGGGGGGGGGGGGGGATGCATGTCTTACTTATAATGTTTATTGCGGTGGGAGGGGGGAAGATATTATAGCATCTGGCTTTTTAGTTTTTAGTAATTATGGCTGGTGTTTGTATAAATTCGTCCTCGAAATCATGTTCAGGTCCAAACATCTACCTTCTTACAACACATTCAACTGCTAGAAGACATATACGATATATGGCCATCATCCTAATAAACGAAAGCAAGACTGGGACTACGGTGGCATCAGGGAGTATCTAAGCCATTCCTCGAAGGACATTGGCACGCGTGGGCACCAGTGACAGGAAAGGAGTGGCGACGGTGAGTGAGTAGAGAGTGACAGCAGAGAAGTGGTGACAACAGAGCGCTAACAACAGCGGTAAGACGAACAGAGCAGAGGGGACATTCCTCCAGTCGGGCCGGAACTGAAGCGAGCTGAAAACCATGCGCGCTTAACCATCGCCGTGCGTGTTCACGTAGACTTCGGACAACAAGTTTGCAGCCATTTCCCTCGTCCATCGTCCCGATGAGTGAGCACTTAGAACCGTGAAGTGGAAATCGATAAAGTTGAAATGGAAGCATGTCATATCTATCACTTCATGCTCTCCGATATAGTTCTCTAGCCAGAACTTCATATCTAAACATGTCTACACTTCTCGTCCCGGCACGAAACCTGCCCTGGTCCAGAGCCAGCTATTCCTAAGAAAGGGGATGAAACTTAACTGCTCTCTTCTGTTTGGCGTATGTTGCGATAAACTGGAATTTTTTCGTCTGGATATATACATGATATTTCTTACCTCGTTGTGTGGGTTATTGTAGGACATTATGGCGGGAGAGAGGGGGGCGAAGGGGTTCCATCCTACGATGCTGCGCGATGTTATATTTTCTCAAGCTGCAATGGATTTTTTTATGGCAAGTGCTGTAATTGCAGTGATCGACTGGCCACGAGTTGGAAATAGTATAAATATCACCGTTGGTTGGTGATCTTAATAGACCTCCGAAATAAATACCCATCGGGAGAATTCCCAGAATATCTCAGAGCTCATGGCTGGAGACGATTCTCTTCCGGAACAGCTGCTGTCTATGTGATTTCCCGGATGATATGGCATGTTATGGCGGTGGTAGAAGGATCGGTGACAGGAAAGGAGTGGTGAAAAAGGGAAGTAATAGCAGGGAAGCTATAAGAACGACAGAGCGGTGATAGTCACGGTAAGACGAACAGACCATAGAGGACAGTTTTGCGATTCTCCTCCACGCCCCATAACTGCTAGCTACCAACCGTACAAGGCCATTTGTGACCGCGGAGATTAGAATAACAAGGCGGGATTGCCCCTCTGGTCTCGTTTTATCGCTCATCATGGGATATCGTTGGGGGATCCCTCCTACGATGCTTCACGATGTTGTATCTGGTTCCAATGAAGATATTCTTTACAGCAAGTGCTTGCAGTGACCGACTGGGCTAGAGAAATAGTATAAATAACCTCATTAATGACCCCGATAGACCTTTCGAAACAAACAATCATCCATACACATTTTTTTACCACGAGCCTGGAGATTCCCAGAAGACTTTGGCGCCAGAAACGATTCTATACCGGTACAGCTGCTGTCCAGGTGGGTTTCCGGATGATGCTGGCATGGAGTGGCGGTGACCGAAATGAGCGGTGATGAGAAAGGGATGGTGACAGCACCGAGGCGGTGACAGCAACAGAGCCGTGACAGCAACGAAAGGAAGATGATCGAAAATAGGGCATGCCGTATCGCATGGTGCTGGTACGGTATCTTGGCTGGCCCAAGGACATCGAGTGCAAGCCATTCCTGGAGAAATGGTATGGATTTAGTTGTCCGTCTCTGGCCACTCAACGCTGTGATAAAGTAGTACCACTGTGCACTGTTGATCCAGACGCAGATACAGAAAAAGCAAGTCAATGAAACAACAGTTTCTGGTCAAACCATATAACACCGTTATG